CACTCTTATTTGCTTAATTGTTTGGTGGTTGATTTCTTTTTTTAAACAGCAATCAGTTTAGTCTTTACCCAAACTACAGAAAGCATCTCCACAAGTGGCTTCCCAAATAATTTTCATAGATTCTGTGGCATTTTTTAAAAGTGTGTCAGAATAAGCTTCCTTTTGGCTTGCAGAAGGCTGTGAGATGGATAAGAATATGAGTGTCTTCCTTGTGTGGAAAAGGCTGAATGGAGAAGAGTTGAAACACATGCAGGGAATGCTCTAATGCTTCTGTAACAGCCAGCCTGCTTGGTGTTCAAAATAAAACCTGGTCCTGGTGAGTGATATTCCCACACCCTTTCACTCCGAACATTGGTCTGGAGGTGTAAAGTGAACTGGAATGATTTGGTAGAATTGCCTCTCTTCTGTTCACTGAGCCTGGTCACAGATTTTGGCCAACAGATATGTACAGGATGTAACTTAGAGCTTCTTCAGATCTTATCTTTAGGTGTCCTGTCCTCTCTCTTCCTTGTTTTGCTTTGTTTTAAATATCAAAGAAGCTGAATTTACCTTTGTGTATTTTGTGTGTATAGGGAGAGGAAGTAAATGGAGCCAGATGTGCATTATCTTGCAATACATGAAAATTGTTTAATAATAATTGGTAAAGTTATCCATACCCTTTATCAAGTTAGAATCTCTACATGAAGGGGAGGAAAAGCATCATGCACTTGCATTGTAATATTAGGCATAAATGACCATGTCTTTCAAACTCTTCCAAAAGAGTAGGTGGACAAAAAAGAGATGTCAGATTACATCATCCTGGAGGCCATCAAAATGCCAAAATGTCCACTGACAGTCACTGCTTGGTTGACAAGATCTGGGCAACAGCTTTGTGGGTTTTTTCTTAGTGATATCTAGTGCCTGTGGTGGTGTTACCTGGAGCAGTCTGGTCATCCTGAAGCTTTGTGGAACCTGCTGCTGGGTCTGAGCGTGGTAATGAACCCATTGCAGTGCAGCTGGTGGCACTCCCTTGCCATTATCCCAAAGAGAATATTGCTTATCAGACACCCATCAGCATCCACCCTTGACATGCTAAGAGGGCAGAGAGGAGTTATTTCTGGTTATAGAACTATGACTTTTTGAGTGTAGTTCCTGTTACTGCCCGTTTGTCTAAATTGTCTTGTGAAGGGTGTTGTGCCTGAGCACATGCAGCCTGAGGAAATGGTGGAGCTGCTTTCTTATGCTCTTGAAGGAGCATAAGAAAGCACTGGGATGCAAGTGTGGCCTTCCTAAATATACCTTCTACTTGTCGAACTGCAGCATTTTAACTGAAACATCATAAATTTCCCATTTGGGAGCTACCCAATTATATCTTACAATAATTCTATTGAATGATCTATAGCTCCACTTTTATTCCCTATTAGTATTTGGCTGATCGATGGGTAACCTAATTGATTGTTAAGGTCAAATGTCTTTATTGGCTGATGCCTGAGTCTTTTCTCATTATGACTTAAAAGAGCATTCTATGCTCCGGAGTTCCTGTGTTCATGTTTGCATTCCAGAACAATAAACTTGGTGATGTAGGTGCTGGTGAGTAATACATTTATGCAACATTTTGTGTGTTCTCAAGTGCAGTATTAAAAGGCTGTGAAATACTGAGGTATTTGAGTTGAGCAGAACTGCAGTGAGGAGCACTTGATCATGGGTTTTCAGATTGTTCTGTGAATAAAATAGCTGTGATGTGAAATAAATTCTTGGCTTTTCTGACAGCTTAATCATCTCTAAGTGTACAAATGCAGAACCTTAACTGCTCTCCTTGTGGCTTGTGATGCTTGCTGAGGTGTGGGGGAGATGAATGTGTCCTGTAGTACAGAAACAGGGTCCTTGTGACTTTGCCTGCTGTTTTGCTCAAGTTTTTTTTGTCTCCTTGGCAATACAGTTCACTGTGACTAGCTGGTACTTGTTTGGAAATGTAGAGGTATTATAACTCTCTATGTTCTAAACCAGATGGCATCCTCACTTAGACTCAGAGGGGAAAATAGTGGTACAGTATGAATGGTCAGTAGAGGTAGTACCAATAAAATGAGTTTTTGCTTTTTCAACCAGGGTTTGTGACAGTCATCAATTGCAAGGTTAATTTTTATCACTGGATTTTCACATATGTTGAGATGTTGGCGTCTCACTTGCTATTCACGAGTGACCCCCCAATTTTTCCATCTCATTTCTGTCAACTAAGCACTTACAGCATCTGGCAGGATGGATATTGATTCCTTCAGCTTTACCTAAGATGCTTATAACTGAATTACTTGGCCAAGACTCCTATGTAGTTGATGAAGCTGCTTCATTCATTCATAAGATTCACTATTTTAAAAGTCTACTGCAGTATGAGAAAAATTGCACACTGGACTCTATTAACCTTAATGGGAGTGTGGGCTGATGAAGGTAGATAATATTTGCAGATAAAGCCAGCTCCTGGGGACAAGGTCACAGAGATGCATGGCTATTTGTTGCTGTCTTTATCTGTCTCTAGTTTTTTAGAATCTGACTGCTGCCTAATGTAAAACATTAAAACCACAAAGGGGATACTAGAGTTGAGGCTGTCCTGTTTTTGTCTCTAATATCTCTAATCGCTAGACATGCTCTCAGGCACTTTTTATTTAGCTTAATTTGTCAAAAAAACCCAAACCAACTCAAAACCCCCGTAACAAAACAAAACGAGCACTTCACTGGAGGATGTGATGTATGTACTTAAACCTGTCTCTCTTAGGAGGGTTTGAATTCCAGATCTTCCACTTCCTAGGCAAATGCTGTGACTTAGCTGGCTGTGAAAGGGGAGGCTGACAGCTTTTCCCCCTCTGCCCAAGATCTCCACATTTCCTACAACAACTTGTCTTGCAAATGCTGCACATCTTAACATTGCCTGAAAAAAGTACTTCTCTAGTTTTTAGCTACTTGAGTAAGTGTTCTTGTTATTGCTTCTGAAGGCAGATGAGGGGGTTTTATCACATTGTAGAGTTTAGCAGCTGTATTGTGGTCAGGAGGTACGTGTTTTGGAGTGAGGTTACGTGTCTTTTAGCTTTGTGGTTCTGTCCAGTGTAATTTGAGCCAGATGCTTCATACTAGGGAGGTGGTTCTCCCTCTCTTCTCCACTCTCCTAAGACCTCAGCTGGAGTATTGTGTCCAGTTCTGGAGTCTCCAGCACAAGAAGGACACAGAGCTCTTGGAATGAGTCCAGAGAAGGCCATGGAGATGATGGGAGGGCTGGAACAGCTCTGCTCTGGAGACAGGCTGGGGGAGTTGGGGTGTTCAGCCTGGAGAAGAGAAGGCTTCAGGGGGACCTTAGAGTACTTTCTAGAACTTGAAAGGGGCTCCAGGAAAGCTGGGGGGGGACTTGGGACAAGGGCAAGAAGGGATGGGATGAGGGGGGATGGCTTTAAGCTGGGCAAGAGGGATTTTATGTTAGACACAAGGAAAAAATTCTTTCTTGTGAAGGATGGGGAGACACTGGCTCAGGTTTGCTAAAGCAGCTGTGGCTGCCTCATCCCTGGAACTTTTGAAGGCCAGGATAGGGCTTGGAGCAACCTGGGCTGGTGGGAGGTGTCCCTGCCCATCCAGGGGAGTAGGAATCAGATGACCTTTAAAGGTCCCTTCCAACCCAAACCATTCCAGGATTCTACAAATTGTGTGTGCCTGTAACAGCTCAGGCAGTGTAGGTACACTTTTATTCCAGACAGGCATGTCTAGATTAGGATTTTTATTGGAATAAACCTGGATATAATATCTTTAGTCTCTTTCTACAGCTGTACTGTGTAATAGTTTCCTTTTCTACCCGGAGGAAAACTCACTCTTCTGAATTCTTGCAAAATAGTATTTTATGTAAAGTAACAGTTGTTCTACTGAAGTTGATTCAACTTTTGGTTACCAAGTTACTGCATTCCCCAAATTGGTAATGTTGTTCTTTATTACTAGATGACTGGCTGTTTGTTTTTTATATCTTTTATTCCTACTGTGTGTGGTAGAGATAAAGCCATCTCCAAAGTTGGGGTAGTTTTTGTTCTGTTTTTTTAATGCTGAAACAACCTTTTCATTGTAATTTCTTGAGAATTCTCTTGCAACCTGTTCTATTGCCACAACATCTGTTAAATGCAGTAACAAAAAACTACTTCTGATCTCCTTGAGTCAGATTTTTCAGCAATATGCTGTTGTCTAGAAGTGCAGACATAGATAATACTGAATGATTTGGTGTAGTAGCTTGGCATGACACAGCCTTTGAGTATCAAAGAGTTGGGAAGGGACCTGTTTAGTGTTTCAAAACCTTACTGAATGGATTTTGGTAGTCTTATAGGTGTCTTTCAAACTTGTAGGATTAGTGGCTCTCCACCCTTCTACCTTTAGTGTGTTCAAGTTTACTTTACAAGAGTCTTGAAGTTGCTTCCCTGCTTTTTCAGTTCTTAACTGATCCCTTTGACATAATCTAAATGAAGAATTTCTTTATTTAGCATTCATCATGTCTGCTTGCTTGAAGAAAGTTGGGAGAATTGGAGGCAAAAGATTTTTCCAACACTAGAAGTATGGATGTTTAGGATGCTCCAGGTGCTTTGTTGGGCAAAATGTGTCTGAAAATACTTGATTGGTTGAGCAGAAAGATATTTTCCTTGCTTCCATATGAATAAAGAACATGTTATGATTTTACTGTTTAGGTTTCAGTCTCAAATCCTCCTCCTCCCCCCAAAAAAAGAGATTTTATGTTTTATTTCCTAAGGAAAATGTGTTTAATTTAACAAACATTGTATGTTGTTTGATTTTTGAAAGATTCCACTACTTGAGAAGTTGCTTAGTAAGTAATTGTAAAGGCTCTCCAGTGCTGCATGCTAAAATCTGAAAGGTGTTTAATCCACAAGAAAGCACTCCAACTGCTTTATAAACAAAAAAAATAATTCAGAGTACTATATTATGCAGTTGTTTTCTGTAATTAAGGATGTTCTGTTTTGTTAAAACGTTTAATTTTCTTTTAATTCTAGTTAGTGATGAAGAACTAAAGAAAAGAATAGCTGAGGAACTGGCATTAGAACGAGCCAGGAGAGACTCTGAAGCTCACAAGAGAAGGTTGGTTTGTTAATAACTATTTAAATCAAATATGTACTTAATGCTTTAATTACTGTTATTTATCTACTTACTATAAACAGTTGATTTTTTTTTTTTTTACTCCAACACAAAATGGTAGGTAAAACCTTTGGGCTATATAGCAAGTTTTGGTATTAAATACGTGTTAAAATGACAGTTTTACTTCAATTTTCTTTTGAGAGCTAATATAAACTGTTGATTTAAATCCCTTTTGACCTCATAAGCCTGACTCTCCTTTGCAGTCTTTTCAGCTCAGTATTTGCTCATCTCTCCTGAGTCCAAATATTCACTTTGTGGGGTAGAGACAGAAATAGCTGGAGAGCAGTGCAGAGGAGGGTTACATATAACCCCTCTTGTTTGATGAAAAGGTGAATTTTAACAGCAGTATAAATAGTAATTCTTGTTATTTCTGTGAATTCCAGATATTTGTGAGCTGCAGTGTTTCAAACTGCTTTAATACTACAGCATAGTGCTTTGAAGATACAAAATATTAAGAGTTGTCTAGAAAAAAATAATTTTAATATCCTTTTGTCATATGGAAACACTATTTTACTGCATGTTTTCTCAGAGATGATAGTAACTGTGGGAGACAGGGTCCTACAGAATACAGCAGCAGACTTGGGATACTGCTTTTTAAAAATATACTCTGCAATGTGTAGTGTGGTGCTGTGCAGTTGTTAGCAATTGAGAACAATTTCTGTTGGAACTTGAAATTGGGTTTGGCTCTGAATTTGGTGGGTTTGTGCTTCATTTGTTCTTCCTTTCAGTGACTTTCCTACATTAGATATTATGAACCATTGAATATAAATATTAACATACACATTGTCCTTTCTGAGAATGGGAAGAAAAGCTCATTATGATGGATTACAAAAAATTAGAATATAATTAGGACTCCTTAAACTGTCTGCGTATATATCAATTCTTTCCTACACATCATTTTATTATTATTTAATTGAGTTAGGTTGATGGAGTATATAATTAGATAGAACGATATACATGTCCCAGAAAAAATCAGGTTGTTTTTTTTTGAATCAGCAGTAAAGGAAATCAATATGTTACAGTGAAATCTCTCCTCTGTTGAACTGGGCTTTGACTGGAAAACTTGAGTTAGATTTGAGCTTAATATTGACTGCTCAGGAGTTCAGCTAAATGTGGTTACAGTAAGGAGAGGTTTGATGAACTTCAGTAGTTTGTTGGACACTTTCCACCAATTTTCATTAAATATTTTCTAATTCACTTTTCATGGTTTGTGTGTTGATCTGTGAAAGGTAGAGAGCAGATTGGCTTGTTGTGTAACTGATTTTATGTTTTGTGGGGAATAGTGCTGGCAGTCTTCCCTTTATTTTCCTAAGGATTAGTTGGGAAGGTATTACATATTAAAAGGATCTTCTAAAATCTTTTTGCCATCTTAAAATCAGGTTGAAGAATCTGTGCTTTTGAAATATAAGCTAAAAATATACAAAGAATTAAGCAACAAATATCAAGTCTTCTCAGCAGTTTTTCTTTTTCTAGTTTTGTTTTTTTTTTTTAACCAATAAGCAAGGATTTCTTATGCTTCCTATATAGTATAAAATACATTCTAACTGGATTGTAGGAGCTCTTCATGTTGGATGGAACAACTTGGAAAGATGCAGATATTTATTTAGCTATTACTTGAGGTGTTTAGGGGCTAAATTGTGGTTGAGATTTGTGTTTTGTGTTTTGAAAACATTCAAGAAGGGCTGTAGCAAATGTGGAGCTGTTCTCCAGACCGTTTTTTTCTGAGAATGAGTTGAAACTGCTGCCTTGATCACTATAAGAAGAGATGGTGGTGTTCAGGCTCAGCATACATACCCCTCCTGTTCTATTCTAGTTGAGAAAGCCACCTCAGCACGGTGCAAGGGCATGAAAAATGTGCAATGTTATTTTTCAAGTCAGGTTCTCTATTTTCAGGTGAAAACAAAATCAAGCAGTCTGTGGGTACGAATTAAGGGGCAGGCTGGCATGGGTGATACAGTTGTGGGGGGTCTATTACAGACCTCCTGATCAGGACAAGGTTGTTGCTGAAGCTTCTACAGACAGGCCTTCTAGACCTTGCTAGTGAGGTCAAAGGCAATAGAAAGGGCTTCTTCAGATACATTGCAGATAGAACTAACACTAGAGGCAATACAGGCCCACTGCTGAATGAGGTGGGTGTCCTGGTGTCAGAGGACAGAAAGAAGGCAGAGGGACTGAATGCTTTCTTGGCCTCTGTCTTTACTGCTGCAGACTTTCCCTGAGGAGCCCCAGATCCTTAAAGTCCAGGAAGAAGTCAGGATGAAGGAGGAGTTTGCTGTGGTAGATGAGGATTGGGTTAGGGATCAGTTGAGCAATCTGGGCATCCATAAATCTATGGGTCCAGATGAAATGTACCCATGGGTGCTGAGGGAACTGGCAGAGGTCATTGCTAGGACACTCTCCATCACCTTTGGTAAGTCGTGGGCAACAGGAGAGGTGCCTGAGGACTAGAGAATGGCAAATGTCACTCCAGTCTACAAGAAGGGTAAGAAGGAGGACCCAGGTAACTATAGACCGGTCAGCCTCACCTCCATCCCTGGAAAGGTGATGTAACAACTTATTCTTGACACTATCTCTAGACATATCAAGGATGAGGGGGTCATTAAGAGCAGTCAACATGGTTTTACCAAGGGAAGGTCATGTTTGACAAACCTCATAGCCTTCTATGAGGAAGTAATTAGGTGGATAGATGATGGTAGGGCAGAGATGTGGTTTATCTTGATTTCAGTAAAGCATTTGACACTGTCTCCCACAGCATTCTTGTAGATAAGCTGAGGAAGTGTGCTCTTGATGATCAGATAGTGAGGTGGATCATGAACTGGTTGAAAGGAAGAAGTCAGAGAGTTAATGGAACAGAATCTAGTTAGAGGTCTGTGACTAGTGGAGTCCCTCAGGGGTCAGTACTGGGACCGCTACTATTCAATATTTTCATCAATGACCTGGAAGAGGGAACAGAATGTGCCCTCAGCAAGTTTGCTGATGATACTAGACTGGAAGGTATGGCTGACACACCAGGGGGCTGTGCTTCCATTCAGCAAGACCTGGACAGGCTGGAGAGTTGGGCGGGGAGAAACTTGATGAAATTCAACAAGGGCAAATGCAGAGTCTTGCATCTGGGGAAGAACAACCCCATGTACCAGTACAGGTTGGGGGCTGAGCTGCTGGAGAGCAGGGCAGGAGAAAGGGACCTGGGGGTCCTGGTGGGCAGGAGGATGACCATGAGCAGCAAGCAATGTGTCCTTGTGGCCAAGAAGGCCAATGGCATCCTGGGGTGCATTAGAAAGGGGGTGGTTAGTAGGTTAAGGGAGGTTCTCCTCCCCCTCTGTTCTGCCTTGGTGAGGCTGCATCTAGAATATTGTGTCCAGTTCTGAGCCCCCCAGTTCAGGAAGGACAGGGAACTTCTTGAGAGAGTCCAGGGCAGAGCCACAGAGCTGATGAAGGGAGTGGAACATCTCTCTTATGAGGAAAGGCTGAGGGAGCTGGGTCTTTTGAGCTTGGAGAAGAGGAGACTGAGGGGCCACCTCATCCATGGGCACAAACATGTTCAGGGCAGTGTCAGGAGGACAGAGCCAGGCTTTGTTCAGTGATGTCCAGTGACAGGACAAGGGGCAATGGGTGCAAATTGGGAGCATAGGAGGTTCCATGTGAATATCAGGAAGAACTTCTTTGCAGTGAGAGTGACAGAGCCCTGGGGCAGGCTGCCCAGAGAGGTTGTGGAGTCTCCTTCTCTGGAGACTTTCAAAACCCACCTGGGTCCTATGTGATGTGCTCTGGGTGCTCCTGCTCTGTCAGGAGGGTTGGACTGGATGATCTTTTGAGGTCCCTTCCAACCCCTAAGATTCTGTGATTCTGTCATTTTTGTATGACTTCTTGTGCCAGTCCTGGACACTCATGAACTTAATGAGTTAGTATTAATTTTTCATCATTTCTGGACTTCAATTTTCAAGTAATTATCTACTTAAGGCAAGATGGACATTGTTTAGATCAAGTATTTTTTGCATATCTGTCTCGTGCACATAAAAAGGAAAAGATTTTTTTATGTCTCGTAAACTTAAAAAGGGAAAGATTACACTCAACTGTAGTTACTTTTAAGAAATGTTCAAATTGATGCAGTATTGGAGAGAGAATAAAACTAGCTATACTGTATTTAAAATGTGGAACAGAAGGTAACTTAACAGAGAACAGTTCAGTGTTGGTAAGTCAATGGTTGCAAGAAAGAGAAAAAAATACTGTGATGCAGGTGTTGTAGGAGGGATGCAGCATCCAAGTGCACTGGTGCTGCCCAAGGCCTGTTGATCTGGGGTGTGACAGTCTCATGTCTCTGAAGAGCACCATGCATGTGACTTGGGCTCTCTCAGCTCCAAGGTCAGGCTCTTTGAGGAAATTAATATAATGAACCCCAAACATAACACCTGCAGCTTTTATCTAGGAAAAGCAAGTTGAAGTGCTTGACTTCTAAATCTTATTGTTGTTTCTGGAAGAGTTATGGCAGGGGCAGCAGCCCATCCTTAGTGAGTTTAACTGGTATTCTAGTATTAAAACCTACTCATTCTTACACTTCTGATCTATTAACAAATTAATTTGATAACCCACTACTTTTCATTGGTGATTGTCTTTTAAAATGCATGCCAATAGTATACAACACATTTCTATTTCTGCATCAGTTTTGAGGGTTTTGTACCTTTGGTATATTTTGCATGTATACATTCTCATTTCTTTCTAGAAAGAAGTCTTTTAGTGAAACAGTGTTTAAACATAGAAATATCTGAAACTTCTAAGTGTTTGTATCTGATTCCAACTGTCTAATAGCTAATTTCAAGACTACTTCTGTATGCAGTGTGAGCACATTTTGATCTGATTGGAAAATGTATTTTACTCATTTCAGACTGTGAAGGAAACTTTAATTTTGACTTGTAATATAGTTTATTTATTCACACATGCATGCA